TTAAAGTACAATTTATCAAAAGTGACCATGATACTGAGTTAAAAAACAGTATTATGGATAACTTCTTTGAAGACAAGGGAATTTCTCACAACTTTTCTTCAGTGAGAACTCCTCAGCAGAATGGGGTCGCTGAAAGGGGAAATCGAACAATCATTGAGGCTGCTTGATCAATGCTCAGCGAGTCCCATCTCCCTACTCATTTCTAGGCTAAAGTTGTCAACATCGCTTGTTTCACTCAAAATCGGTTGCTGATCGTTAAGAGGTTCAAGAAGACAGCTTACGAACTTCTCCATGGCAGAAAGCCCTCTATCAGCTTTCCACATATCTTTGGTTGCACGTGTTATATTCTCAACAACGGTGATCAACTAGGAAAGTTCAATCCCAAAGCTGATGAAGGAATCTTTCTTGGATATTCTTCTATATCTAAATCCTTCAGAGTATTCAACAAATGCAGACAGACAATAGAAGAAAATATTCATGTCACCTTTGACAAATCTCAATCAGCTAATTCTAAACCCATCATAAATGATGATAAAGAATTAGAAAACTGAATGTTTTCTCATTTTGGACAACTTGAAGCTTCCTTTAGCGTTCCTCTCAACACTGAAGCCCCAGAAGCTGAAGATGATCCACTAATCATTCCAGTCGCAGCTGATCACCAAAACGTATCTTCTTCAGAGATCGTAGCAATGCCCCTTAGCTGTGTTCCTCCTTCTACTTCAAACACTGATCAATTAGTGAATGAAATGCCTTCAGCATCTTAACCTGTATCTTTTGCTGAATCTGAGGCTCCTTTAGCAATTGTTCCAATTGCTGAAGAATCTACAGCTGAAGCCTCATCCTCTGTTCTTGAACATCTATGCTTAGATGATAATCCTCTACTAGCTCAGTGATGGACTAAAGACCATCCTATTCATCAAATTCTTGGTAATCTAATTGCAAGTATTCAGATTCATCAAGGTCTAGGTAATATATGTCTCTTGGTCAACTTTTTTCTTTAGTTGAGCCCAAGAAGATCAATGATGCTATCTCAGAACCCAGCTGGGTCATTGCTATGCAAGAGAAGCTCATTGAGTTTGATAGGAACAAAGTCTGGTACCTTGTCCCACGTCTATCTGACAAGATAATGATAGCAGCAAATGGGTCTATCGCAACAAGTTAGATGAAGAAGGTGTGGTAACCTGTAACAAGGTTCGACTTGTTGCTCAGGGTTATAGGTAAGAAGAAGGGATCGATTATGATGAGACCTTCAGACCAGTGGCTAGACTCGAAGCAATTCGATGCTTTCTAGCCTTTGCTGCCCATAGAGACTTCAAAGTCTACCAAATGGATGTAAAGAGCGCTTTCCTACAGGGAAAACTTCAAGAGGAAGTTTATGTTGAACAACCTCCAAGATTTCTTAACCCTAAGTATCCAAATCATGTATATCGTTTGGATAAAGCTCTTTATAGGTTAAAACAGGCTCCCTGTGCATGATATGATACCCTCTCCTCATTTCTCGTCTCTGAGAAATTTTTCTGTGCAAAGATTGACCAGACCTTATTTCATAGGAAAGTTAAAGGTCATATCATTCTAGTCCAAATATATGTCGATGATATTATTTTTGGTTCCACTAATCCCTTTTTATGTTTTCGATTCGCTGATCACATGAAGAAAGAATACCAGATGAGTACGATGGGAGAACTAACATTCTTTTTAGGTCTCCAGATCAAGCAATCAGATAAAGGTATCTTTATCAGTCAGAGTTAAGTATGTCAGTGATATGCTGAAAACTCATACGACTCATCCACTCTCTCTCAACAATGATCCAAATGGAAAGCCTGTAAACGTAACTGTTTATTGAAGAATGATCGGCTCTCTGCTATATCTCACAGCTAGTCGACCAAATATCATGTATTCTACTTGCTTATGTGCACGATATCAATCCGAACCTAAGGAATCCCATCTGATCGCTGTAAAACGCATTTTCAGATACATAAAGGGAACTTCTAACTTGGGTCTCTGGTACCCTAAGGGTTCAGGTTTTAACCTAATAGGTTATTCAGATAGTGATTTTGCATGATGCAAGATCGATAGAAAAAGCACCACTGGAGGCTGTCAGCTTCTAGGTGGAAAGTTGGTGAGCTGGACAAGTAAGAAAGAAAACTCAATGTCCACATCAACCGCTGAAGCTAAATATGTAGCCTTTGGAAGTTGTTGTGCCCAAGTCGTTTGGATGAAAAACCAACTGAACGACTACGATCTTCAGTTCTCAAAGATCCCTATTTAATGTGATAGCACTAGTGCTATTGCAGTTGCAAACAACCCTGTACTTCACTCCAAGACCAAACATATAGATATCAGATATCATTTTATCAGAGATAATGTTATGAATGGTGATATTGAAGTTCACTTTGTTCCCACTGATTACCAACTCGCTGACCTTTTCACCAAGCCTCTTGATGAGACAAGATTTAACATCTTGATCAGCGAACTTGTAATGCTAAACGCTGAAGAAAATTTTCTTCAGCTATATGCATCAATCAGTAAGTGAAATGATTCAGTGCTCTCACTCTATCACTGAACTCTTGAGTAAATGTATCTATTCTCTCTAAGGTATGTGTACTCGTTCCTCTTCTTTAAAACTTAAAACTATCACTGAAGTTTTCCTTCTTCAGTGATAAAAATGTTTTAAAGTTTGTTTCAATGATTCTTTCTATCGTTGGACATTTTATATAAGTATATATCTTTTATACTTATCTTTTCCTTAAAATCAAAATGATCACTAAACCTTTCTACCTTCAGTGATTCAAAAGTTTTTAAAAGATAGTTTCAGTGATTCTCTTATCATTGACACTTTTATGGAAATATATTCTTCTAAGATATTTTCCTTTCTTAAAACAAAACCATCACTGAAGCTTTTCTTCTTCTTCAGTGATCAAATGTTTTAAAAGGTTTTTATTAAGTGATTCTCTTATCACTGAATGTGACTCTTTGAATTTCTTAAAACCTTTTCGTTTTAAAAGAAATAATTAATGAACCGTCTTTATGACGACATTCTCTGTTACCAATACGAGTCGCTTTGAGACACAAGCGACCTCCTACAACTTCCATCCAATCATGGATGAGAATGTGCCATATTTTTCATCATGGTATTTCCTCAACAGTCGTATTTTCCTCTCTCCTAATTCTTTTCTCTCTCCTCCTACCTATAAATATGAGATCTCTTCCCTCATATTTTCTTTTCGCTTACAAAAATCTTTGACGAACCTCTACCAAAAATAATTTGCGAGCAAGAACTCTCTAAGAATGCTCGAATCCTTCGACCTTTTTCTCTAACAACTCTAAGGTCGATACTTATTCTTTAACTTTGAACTATTCTTCTTCTTCTAAATGAAACTGTTGTTTGTTCTTTTAAGAACCTTGTTCTCTTAAAACATAAACAGTAAGATTAATAACACATTATTCTTCTTGGTTATAATCTAAAGTTTCAAAAACACTATTCTTCTTGAAAAACCCTAATATCTTATTTGTGGATTTTTTAAAAAGAAGTTTTATTATTCTAAAACTTAAAAAGATCACATTCAAATCTTGGACTACTAACATAAACTGTTATTTCCTATTTCTTCAACTATAACAGACAATGGCTGCCAATAACGTGAACTTCTCCGTTGAAGACGTGTCTTTCAAGGCTAACAACTACATTGCCTTGTTGGACATTCCTACCAACAAACCCATTTACAAGGACAATGTTGCCTTCCTTAAGATGTCCCCCATCGCCTACGCTCTCACCCATGAACCTGTCATGGTTAGGGAGGCCTTTCAGTAATTCTGGATAACTGCTGGAGTGGTGAAGGACATGGACAAAAACGGTCAACAGGTGCAGAAAATCACCTTCACCTTCAACCGGATGACCGTGAGCTTTGGCGTGACCACTCTCAGGCAAGCAAAACCCCCCTAAGTCTAACCCAACCACCACAACCCTCTTTTCCAAACGCCCCTCTCAACCAACTCTTGGTTCTCCTTCATGGACCAAGAAGGCCAAAAGGAGGACAACCACGTTTCTAGCTATGACCTCTCAAAAGGTCCCAACTATCGAAACAAACCTTACCCCCAAGGTAATTTCAATTAGTCTTCCCAGCTTTTCAATTATATCTGAAAATCACTATCGTTCCCGTGGCTCCTCTCCTAACCGCCTTAGTGACTCAAATCACTGAAGGTGAGAAAATCAGCATCGCCACTACTGAACACCCACTACTTTCAGTCTCAACCATATTCTCCTGTCCTCCATCCTTTGTCTTTACACGTGTCAATGAATCATTAGCGAATGTCCTCTGATGATGAGACACCCACCACTGGACCTGAGGTTGCTCCTCTCGAGACACCTCAACATACTAGCGCCTATCCTCTCGAAGGCACCATGGAGTGCACCAGCGTTAATCCTTCAGATAATGCTGACAAACCCTCAAGTACTCCATCTTCTTACCCTTTCATTTCTACTAACCCTGAGCTTCCTTATGCTCACTCTCAATCTTTTTCAGGTCCTTCTGAGGAACCAACCATGGATGATGCATATGATATGGCTGAGGATGTAAACTTGCTCCTTCCTGCTGTCAAGATGGTCTTCATCAAAATGGACGAAGTCCATAAAGACACGTCTCGAAGGGACGAAGTAGCTGCTGTCTCAGCTGTCAAGGTTGAAGTTCAAGAGGTCAAAAGCCAGCTCTCCAACATGCAAGTGGCATTTCAAGCCAATACTGAGGCCATCGTCGCTTTAACAAGCAAGTGGCATTTCAAGCCAATACTGAGGCCATCATCGCTTTAACAAACAAGGCCGATGAAGCAAACCCCATCTTGCTCAGCATACGAAATTGATGCAACAGATTTTGGTTGTTCTTCAACAGCCAGTTCCAGCGCCTGAACCCTCGTTCACCGCTGATGACTGCACCCAGTTAGACGAAGCATGTGAGGCAACGATTATCCTCCCCCACGCTATGACACGTCTTGAAGAAATGATGGCACTACAAATCCAGACCATTGACCACTTCTTTGGCTATTTCCAAAGAGAGGGAGACAAGATCTGAAGCTAGTCCCTCACATGTTAACGCCCCTGAGCCTGTTGTACCAGCAACTGATGACGCTGAAGCTGAAGCTCCTAGAGCTGAAACTGAGGTTGTTAATGAAAATCCAACTTCCTGTGAAGCTCTTGTAGCTGAGGATGTTGCCGCCTGAGCTGAAGCTGAAGCTCGCGACAATGACCTTGCTATCGCCTCTACAGCCAGTGCTAGTGATGAGGAAGACGACGATGATGAAAAAGACGGTGAGTCTCCCAACCTTCCTGACGCTGGTGATGATCTGGATGATGATGATGATGAAGACGACAATGACGACGACTTCATGATTCAGTACTAGAGACCTGCTAGTGCCATAAAAGGCGTCACCCTCAGGGATTTTGCATCCAGGGGCAGCAAAAAGATAAAAATACGACTCAAGAAAAGCACCAGAGCACCAAGTCAAAAGACAAGGTGTTGCTGAAGAAGGCAATCTTAAGGTATTGTTCAAATCTCTAGAACCTTTATCTAACGAGTCCTCTAGCCAAATCACCATAACTTCCATGTACCAACTCTCCATCCCCACAACTACCTGCGGTCGGATGGAGGAATGGGTCCCTGAAAACCCATCCATCAGCGCTCCCACCGACCAGCAGATGTCTCAGCTCAGGGAGTCACTCAACCAAACTAGAGTAAAAATTCCTCTTCGTACCTCTAGCTGTGGTGAGTTCGACTTCCTGACTGAAGCTGAAAGACTCGAGGCTCTCAAGGCCGAGGAAGAACTAGAACTTCAAAGAAAAGAGACCCAGGACAGCTTAAAGCTGGCCAAGTCCCTTTTTGCCAAAGTTCTTCCAAGGAAGAAATCCATAAAGAAGGTGAATGTTGTCCAGGCCCAAGCTATGCTTCTCTCTATTGCAGAAGCTGGATGCGAGAAAAATATGAAGGTGGCCGAGCGTGACAGACGTTGGAACAAAGAATGCCTACAAAAGAGAGTCAACCCTCATCCTATCTCAAACGTCACCTGTTGGACCCAAATACTCTAAATTTGCAGAAATATTGTTTGCTAGAATTAAGAATCTAGAAGAACAGTGTATTTCTATTGATTAAACTGGATATTCAAAGAAAACATAAAGCAGTAAAATAATGCTTTGAATAACTAAATGCTTTTATTAAAAAGATGAACAATTCAAGAACAAACGTAATCTCACAAGAATTTGCGTATAGTATAAGTCGGCTCTTTCAGGTAATTTGAACCTGAGGCGGAGGCCTCCTTTCATACGCCTAGGTCTAACTAACTACGCTATAAATTAAGCGTGGAACTCTGAGTTGACTAGTCTGCATCCTTATCTTTGACTTTCCTTGATTAGCGGAGTAGACTTGGTCAAGCCGCCTTTAAGCTGTTAGACCCTTGATTAGCTTATGTATGTTCATACGCGCTTTCTGTGAAAAAGGTAGCCAGATGCTCTGCATGTACTATGCAGAGGCTCTACATATGCAGAAGCTCTGCATGTACTATGAAGAGGCTCTGGGTCTTGGAGTTGTTGCTTTGAGTCGAGCGCTTATGCTTTTTGGCGCACAAGACTTGAACGTTAACAGAGATAGAGCGCGGGCTCTGTATAATGGAACCTTCACTCTGAGTAAGAGCTCTGGTCCTTGATCCTCTGTATGAGAGCTCTTAGCCAGACAGCTTCAATAGACTAAGTCCTATTTGACTAGAGCAAGATACTTCTTATTTACACTTTTACAAGTTTGGGCTCTAAAAATCTCCCCCTAAGTGTAAATAAGAATGATTCTTACTTGATTTACGTGACAAATCTAATTGAAGACAGAGGTTAAAAACAACCTCTGGTTACATTGACTATCTAATGAAGTACAATACGATTGAAATTGAAATTACATTGAATCAAAAATAAGAAGGTACTTACAAAAGATAAGAGGTCTTAAACATTTTGAAGTTTAATGAACTTCCTGAGAAGTTCATGAAACTCAAGCATATTTCGAATGGATCTTAGAATTATTTTGGCACGCTCTTTGGCTCCAGGGGAGTTGTCTCTGCTCCTGACCAGATTGTCTCTTATATAGCGCAGAGTAGAGTTGGAGTACTTGTAATTTTGGTTGTCACGAAAGAAGATCTTCTGATTATGCTCGTTTCGAAACACCACTCCCACTTCTGGTTCCACCAGAACCATCCAGGAGGGAATGTTGTGGATGCCGTGTAAATCTTCATTTGGGGCAGCCACTGTCATTTGATCCGCTCCTAGATCCAGAGCTAGTTGGAAGTCAAACTTGCTTCTGTAGTCAAGCAGATCTGTCATTGTTTGGCGAATGGCAGAGTTGGCAATAGCGAACTTCACTCCCTTATCCTTCTTGTGGTATGTGAAGTAGAACATATGAAGAAGATCCCACGGAATTAGATTAATGAGGTCACAATCTGTGAACCTACATATCCGTCCTTGAGTCCTCTCAACTGCGTACTCCTAGAACACTATCTGATTATGTGCAAAGGTATGCTTCTTTATGTCAAGAACTTGTTTTATTCCATCAGCAAAGTGGACTACAGTGATTGGTTGAGTATATCGATCGATGAATCTCTGCCTGATGTGCTCTTGAGCCATAGAATGGAGACTGATCTTCTGGACCGGTATCTCTTCCCTTTGGTTGTAAAGGAACTGGTAGATTTCCTCGCTATCTGCCTTTTCCTTGATGGGTTTGTCGAGGGGTGTGGGTTTGAACATGGCATCCATGCTTGCTTTGATCCTTTGGACACGATCAAAGGGATGCTTCCGTTTTTGCCCGCTCGTTGTGCCTTCTAAGTCTGCTCTATTTAGATTGATCGGTACTTGCTTCATCGCAGGAGTGACAATCCTGGTCCCTTGAGCAGGGACGCTAGCTCTGTAGGTTCTTGGATGTGGTGGAGGAGCAACAACGGTTACTTCTTCTAGAGGAATGACAACCGGAATGTGTAGTAGTGATGGATCAACCACATTCATGGCGACCGCCTATTCTTGTTGTTGAGCTGTTGTTTAGGGAGCAGCCATGTCCATATCGTACTCTGTTGAGGAGGACAGAGCCAGGTCTGAGTTGTCCGATCCATAGGTAGATAGAAGGTCGATCACTTCTGTAGACTTGTGTGGCACGGCTGCCTCTGATGCCATAGGCATTTTTCCTTTGTGTAATGCCTCTGTGTTGTCTGGCACTTACTGGCTTTGTTTGCTCTGCCTTGATTGACTTTGATGGCGTGGGGCAGAGGGGACAGCCATAGGTGTTGTACTTGGTGTGGCTGTAGGCAGGTTCTCCCCCTCTTGGCGATTTTGAGGAAGAGACTTGTCTGGGTCCTCATCATCGTCAAGTCACCTCCTCTTTGACGGTTCAGCACATGGAGATGGATCTCGCTGTCTCTTAGTTCTCTCATCCTCTGCTCGAGACATGGATTTAATCACCTCCTCGATGGTCTTGAGGAGTTCATCGACTACAATGGCAACCCTTCACACTTTTTCGTCTGAACGGTAGTTGAAGCGTGCGAGAGTGTCATTGATGTTCTTTGCTGCTGTTGTGGCCTTGCTATTGAAATCCGCAGTGAAGTCCGTCACCTTTTGTAGGATCCTGTCACCCAGAGCATTCATGGCGCTCTGTGTGACATAGTCCACAGGTACACTCAGAGGTATGAGGGCCTGGTTGTTGATCGACGTAGACGCCTCAACCCTCTGTAGAGATGCAACGACCTGCTGTAATGTTGTTGTATTGGTTGCCGTCAATTCCATTAGCATGGTGATACGAGAAGCATTTGTCATGGACTCAGCTCTTAGTACTGCCAAGGATGCTCGTATCTCATCCAGAGCAGGTGTAGAAGGTGACGGCTCTACACGGGCCATGATGAGTTTTAGCTCTTCCAAGGAGCATCGCATAGAGGTGAAAAGGGAATGGAACTTCTCCCTAGTGACATATACAGATGTTGTAACCTCTGGCTCAACATATGGGCCAGATTGAGTCTCCGTTCTAGGGACGCCTTCATTCACGACTTGATTGACGTTAGTCGGGGAAGGACTTCTAGAGGATCCTCGTGGTTCTCCTCGAGGAGAATTCATTACCTATGTTCTGTCAGGGAGAGAACCCAAGGCTGGTTCAGAGCCAGCCAGAGGGATCTCCATGAGTGGACTAGAAAACTGGTCAAGAGTCTCAAAGTCTGGTGCACCTATTCCTTGCTCTGAACAAGGTTGGGGGTCTACTTGTGCAGAAACAAATTCCTCTGTATAGGAAAGTGGCGTGATATGGGGAGACATATCACTTATGTTTTCAAAGGTTACACCCTTTTGAGAGGGTGTTCCCTGTGGCGAGGTTTCCCTTTGGCTAATATAACCAGAGGCAGATGCGACCTCTGGTTGGATAGGCTGGTTAGGGTTCAATGTGTGCGCCTCTGTTTCAATGATCTCCGTGTCTCAACCACCGGAGTCAGATAATGTGGTTGCACTTGGAGTGGAGTAGGTGAATCTGATGTGCTTATTTGGCCTAGGCTGCTCTGTCCCACCCTGAGGCAGAGCAACTGCTTCCCCTCCTCCCTCTTCTACCTCTTCTACTTCCTCGCTCTCCTCTTCGTCTCCCTCACTCTCTGTCTCACTCTCTTCTTCGTCATTTTCTTCCTCCTCTTCTCCACTTCCCTCGCTTGTGTAAGACCATGCATTATCGTCATAATGCTCTTGGTCATCCCCTTGGTTTGGACTAGAGGATTGAGCCAAGGTTTGACGAGCCTCTTCTTCTGCTCTGAGTCTGGCCTCTTCTCTTAGGCGAGCTATTTCTGCTTGACGAGCCTTTTCTGCCCTCTCCTCCTCTGCTCGTTCTGCCTCAGCCTTCTTCTTCTTCTCCCTCTCAGATTTCTTTTTCCTTGCCTCCTCTTGTTTTCTTTCTTTTTCTCGTTCTTGTAGTGTTCTCACCCTTTCTTCATTTACTCTCATTTTTTCTTCTCATGCTCTTACCGTTTCTCCCTCGACCTGAGGCATTGATGCGTCCTCAGTTTTCTCTTCTTCCTCGGCTGCTCCTATGTGTACCGGGGTTCGAGACACTGGTTCTAGTGTCTCGCGTGTACGTCTGTACACTCTCCTAATCTCCTTAGACTTCATGTAGCTCATGAGCCTCTTTGGGATAGGCCTTTCTGCTTCATAACCCTCCTTGTGCATTGTTGGTCTGTATTGAGTGAGTACGTTGTCCTTATGAGGAGGTAGACGACCCACATCAATATTGTTGTCATCAAAAGCTGGTCGTAGGAGAAGACCCAAGAATCGAGGAAACAACAAGGATGTCAACTGTCTTCCTTTGGCCACTTCTTGACACTTTTTGGCCACGGCGGCCTTGAA